ATTTATGTATTGAATAGGATCCTAGAAAGGAGCAGTTCGTTTTATACAGATCGTCGTAAACGAACTAGGCCTCGGTTAATTACTGTGTACTCTTAACCCGTAAGATATTAAACAGACATATATGTGTAGTACTTATTACTTTGATTCATATGGGTGAGGCTTAGTGAACTGGGCCAATAGACCTGCTGTCTTGGGAAATATCGCTGCATGTAGGATGTGATGTAAGGATATTTACGGTCACCATGTACGTTAGATTGATGATATCCCCGGAGTGAGTTCATGAAGGATTATTATGCTAAACCCTGCAAGTGGATTAAATTCCGGCATAGTAATAATGTGATGAACGAGCGCTAGCTTTGGTGAAAAATAATAAATTAATTAACTCTTGATTGTCAGTAATCAAATTAATTAATGGACATTATATCTTAAACATGGGGAGATAAATCGAGTAATTATTATTGGAGTCTCAATTGTAAATTGGGCTAGGAAAAGGGAGTGCAATAATATATTAAGTTGGTGGCCCATTTAATATTATTTAATTAATTAAAATAAGTGGATTGGTCCACAAGTATTTTAATTAATTAAGGAGCCCTAATCCTAATCTCCTAAGGGTCCCTACTGTAGCTTTATACATACATCATTAAGCTCATGGGAAGAGAAGACATGATCTCATAATTCATGCCTCATACACGCCGCCCCATATTCTCTCTCAGTTCCCATTCGAGCTTTATCTTCTTCTTGTTGTTCCACCGTTACAAGATTAAGAGGTGTTTGAGATATACAGTAGAAGATCTGTAGGTAAACTGACACGAAATATATTTGTTCGTATAGATCTAACCGGAGGTCCGATCGAGGAGTGCAGCATACCCAGACGACCGTCTCAACGAGATCTTTCAATCGCCGCAGAGATTGCCGCCGTACGACGCCAAAAATGCCCTCAAGCTCCGCCATAAGGAGCCAAACTGCAAGTTCTTTTTTTTATCTGTTTTGCACCCGTTTGATCCGATTTTCGATCTAATCTTGTTCGTGCAACCCTAAGACGTGATTTTCAGTCAACTATTCATTGGTGTGTTGTGTACGGCCATCCAGAAGATCAGCCAGATCGTCATAAATTTTAAGCCGTAAGTTCTCTACAAAACCTTTAGATCCGCTGCGCATAGGTTTACGTTTTGCTATTGAATTCGTGACAAGTGCATAACGAGATCCTCATAGATTCCAACAAATTTTATTTTTCAGACTTGCCAAACTCTCACCAGGATTGTTCCTCAGAGTATCTACCATTCTTTTCCCAAGATATTTGTAGTCAGCCCGTATGTCTTATGTCCTGTAAGAGCATGTGTGTTTTCCTTTCAAAGTCTTGATATGAAATGTGGACAAACCTCCAATAATTGAGTCCCTCAAAGACCAGTCACACCCACTTTTGCATTGTGTTATGATGAGCTTGGCTTCATTCTTGAAAAACTTCAAATCATATCCTTTTCTAACAGAAAAATCTCTAATCACATCCTTGAATTTTTCTCTGCATGGAAATTTCTGACCAACTTTCAGCTCAAACCTTGACATATCAGTACTATCATTCCATTCATCAGGCTCTTCAAAGCAGTTGTCATCATCCTCAGCCTCACTGTACCAATCTTTTTCTCTAGCCCTTTTCAAACCTTCAGCTTCTTCTCTTGCTTTTTTTTTTCTGCTTTCTTCTTAGTTTCATCCATTCTCTTGCCCTATTGTGTATCTTATTAGCATGATCATGACCCCTCTGTTGGAAAACGTCATCATCATTAGGGCTTTCTAGATCCTCCAATTCCCATTCAGATAATTCAGAGGACTCACCACTATCTTCTTCAGGTTCATACTCTGAATCCTCTGAATCTCCAAAATGATGTTCTGCCCCTCAGCTTCTTGTTATGCCCCCTTAGGTTGTTGTTCTGCTCTCTCATGAAGTTGTTCATCCTCCTGGCCAACTGTCTGAGATCTATCTTTATCATGATGTGCTTCAGCTTCATTAAGTGGCTCATCTCTCTGACCAAAACCATCATGTGAACCAGCATCATGTCTCTCTTTTGTAAGATCCACCTCATCTGAGCCAACATCATTAGCATCTTTTGTAGGATCCACCTGACCAACAGCATCTTGTGAACATGCATCATAGTATGATTCTTCTTCATCTTGTGAACAATACATGTCAATTAGAATATCCTCTCAGTTTGTGGATATTTAATAAGTAAGATCTCTTCTTGTGCATCCATCAGATTCCCATCAATGTTCGATTGTTGTAGTGGGCCATGCAAATCTTTACAGTAAAGTGGGATGACATATTGCCATGTATACTTCTTCACCAACTTCAAAATATCACTGTCACTTAATCATCTTTGTTGTTTGTAGAGTTTTTCCAGGCTTGTGTGAAAAACTATGTACAATGGATAATTTGCCACCTGTCTTACTGTACACATCCATTATCTCATACATAAACATGTCCATGTCATAGTAGTCAACTGCAACTCTTTGACCACTAAAGTAGTGAACAAAGGGCTCCCATTTTATCATTCCACCAACTCTAACATCAAATACAATAGTCATATTCTGCAATTCAACAAGTATGATATGATTAAAATATGAAATCAGGGACCACAACATAAAGAGAATACTTTATGCATCAACACTTCATATGCATCAATATCACAGAAGGACCCTAATTCTTCTTACAAACAGCATCAATAATTTTCAGATTAAACTATTTGACAATAATCACAAATTTAACATACATATAGGATCAAGTAAACAACCCTAATTTCCAAATCAAAAAACCCTACAAACAACTTCAATACTTTATACAGATAGTATAAAATGAAACAATTCAACCAACAAACAACATCAACACTTTTCAAATATTTCACACAAGGAGCACAATTCGGCCTACAAATAGTATATAAATCACCCTAATTCTCTAAATAGAAAGCCCTAATTTCAAAATCAGAAAGCCCTAATTCCCAAACCAGAAAGCCCTAATTCCCAAATCAGAAAGCCCTAAATTCAAAATCAGAAAGCCATAATTCCCAAATAAAAAAAACTCTAGTTTTCAAATAAAAAAAACCCTAATTTCCAAATCAGAAGCACAAAAGTTTACCAAATCAGAAGATATCGAATATTCCTAATTTCCAAATGAACAATCGACTTTCCCTACTTTTCAAATCACAAGCACGACACTTGACCAAAAACACTATTTTCGAAACCACATAGCATAAGAACCCTAATTTTAGGAATGCAACTATTGGATATCAAGGTAATAACCTTTAATCGTCGAAGATTCAAAAAGTACCTTATGCGCCATCGAAAAATCGAGAAGAATGTCGCTGCAAATAGAGAACCCTAGCTTTGGAATATCAAAAATTACTCCTCCAATCGGCTCCAACATTGAAGATAAATAAGGACTTTGTTATGCGCCATCGATACTTCTACAAATTAATAGTTGAAAATCGACAATTTTTTGGAGAATCGAGGTGCTGAAATTGGAATGTTATCGGGGAAAGAGTGAGACAGAGAGAGAGAGAGAGAGAGAGAGAGAGAGAGAATTTCAAAGTTAGAAATGTTTTTTGTTTCAGATATGTGTGACTTCTCAAATGACAAGGGCATAACGGGATGTTTGACAAAAATGTAACGGTGTTAACACTCAGACATAAGTTGGGGAGTGCATGCTGGCCAAAGTACATTACAAGGGGGTTTGACGCAATTTTAAAATTACAAGGGGATAACACGCAGATTTAGTATAATACAAGAGGATTTGGTGCAATTACCCGTTAATAATGTGAGTGGATGGATAGTAAATTAAGGTTGATGCGGTGTGCATGAATGATTGATTGAAGTATTATTTAATTATATTAATAATATTGGTGATAGTGAAGTTGAGTTAAAGTTGAGTTAAAAAAAGTTGTTGAATTAAAATGTTGATTTTTTTTTTAAAAAAAAATTCTATGAACAAACATGCTCTGAGTATTTGTATGATGAAATAGAAAATAAATAATGGATATGTCGAGTGATAGAGTGAGAGCTTAATAATAATAATAATAATAATAATAATAATAATAATAATAATAATATTGTTAAAAGCATAAAAACAATATAGATCCGTTAATTCTAATGGACAAATATATATATATATATATATATATATATATATATATATATATATAATGTGGTTCAAATGAGAACCAAGTCTTAGTGTGAGAACCGTGAGAATTGCTATTTTTAATTGTGCGTAGTGCTATGATTGATTGTGTTTGGTGCTATTTTTAACCAGGATGAATTTTATTAAAAATAGCAACACAATTTATATTAACATTTGTGAAAATGATAACATCATCTAATATTAAAAATATCATCATGTACAATTAAAAATCGCATCAAATATGGTTCTCACGGTTCTCACACCAATAATAGTTTTTATTTGAACCAGCCCCTATATATATAGGAGTTGCTAGCATTTCATTTAATTTTACCTAATAAATAAAACCTAAAAATTTTTACCTATGTGGCAAATCATTAAATATAACTTAATAAATAAAACCTAATAAATTTTACTATGTAGCATTAATCCACCTTATCTGATCAAACATTTAATTATATTTCTTGGATTAATTAAAACAAAAACCGTTATGTTTTGTATTAATTGAGTAGTAATTATATTTTTTATTTTAGTAGTTATTATCAAAACTAATCATAGCTTAATTGCAAAAAAAAAAACCATGACATTTTAGAAAATTGCAATTTATACACCACTTTCATTTTGCAAATTTATGATCAGGGCCCAATTTTGGGGTTTTTTAATGGACGTGGCATTTTTTCAGACGTGTCAATTGTTGTTTCTTTATCTTATTCCACGTCTCAATTGCATATATAATAATGAGAATCACATTTGAGATCGACGAGCTCCGAAAAATTGCCAAAATTTCCTCAAACCCTAGATTTTGAACCGAAATACTTCTCTACAAATTCGAACAGAAAGCATGTCTTCATCGACATCTCAAAGCTCCCGCCTATATGTTTCACCTCATTCAAGTCAAAAAATTTGTGACCATGGGAAGGAAGTGGACGTGTTTACGTCAATGACTCAAGGAAATCTGGCGAGGAGGTTCAATCGGTGTAGCCGAAGGAAAGTAAGCCATTTTAACGAGGACATTTTACTATGATTTTCATGTCTGTGGTCATTTTGAGTGCCTTGCATTTTGTTTCTGTATTTATAGGGCCCTGAGGACTGCGGTCATTTTGGATGGATCGATCCAAGTCTTCCATTATTTCAGAAAGGTTGCTTTGTGAACTTAATGGGTCAGAAAAAGAGTTTAGAAGAAAAATTAAGGTGCAAAGAGGTTATGGAAAAATTGGTGTTATGTTTTAAGGTGAAAAGAGGTTATTGGAAAAAAAACTAATGCCTCATTTCGATTGTTATAAACTGACGATGCCCCACTTTATTGTTATGTTCTAAAGGTGCAAAGAGGTTATGGAAAATCTGAGATAGAAAGGATGACGATTAAGGTTCCAGAACTTGAGAAGGTGCAAGATCTCCATGAGCAAACTCAATCTTTGTTGGAGCTTCAAACATTGAAGTGACATGGAGAAAAAACAGAAGATTGCAATGAACCAAATGACCAAGCTCCAAAGAATGTTTGCAGTGGCAACAATTTGGATTATAATACTCCAATTAATAATACTAATATTGGTTTATTCAAAATGATACAATCGTTCTAATGGATATGTAAGAATATTGGTTTGGCATCATGTCCGACAAACCTAAGTGTTTTCTAGAAGATTTCTTTTTAAGCAAGCAAAATAAGTTAAATGGAAGTTTGTTTTGATTCATTCTATTGAGTTTTGATGGTTGCAAGAACTGAGGGGGAGAATTGTGTTTGAACACAGTGATTATTTTTGTTTGCATATCCCTTGTTGTAGTTTTATCATCTGGTGCTTGTTGTTTTAGTTTTTCAGGAGACTCTTAAGTCTGTCGGTGTTCGAACTAGATGCCAAAGGGGGAGATTGAAAGATATTTTTGTTTGGCATTAGTTCGTTGGTTCCAACAAGCACCTGGAACCACAGAAAAAGGGAAGATCTTTGAATATTTTATTTCCTTACTTAAGTTTATATTATATTCCATATATAAGATTGTGTTGGTCTTATTATGGTACTTTTACATGTTAGGAAATCAGATGAGAATAAAGAAAGGAAAGGAGGAAGATTACATAGTATATATCTTATATATTCACTTACCATATATGCCACATACCATAATTGGTTCTCTCTTTCTTGTAGGACAAGGAATAGGTGGCAAGGACTATGAAAGGATGAGCTTTCCATACAAGAAGAGTTCTGGACGTTCATGAGAAGATCTAAGGAGGATTTGGAAAGATTCACCACAAGATCTTTGAAGATTTGGAAGATCGGCTATTTTTGGAAAGTCATGTTCTTACCAGATTCTTGGAACGCGTTTTTCCATTGAAAGCTCAATTCTGAAGATCTCCAAATCACATGCACGATTTCTACATCAAGGAAACTTACCTTACATGAAGGATTTCGTCCAAATCAGAAAGGAATCAATTGAGAAGGAAATTGACTCCTAAAAGGTAAAGGAAGAACTGTGAAGACTCCTTACCTTAAGGAGGTTGTATATAAGCCTACTCAAGCAATCAATTGAAGACAAGAAAGCTGTTGCAAATTAAGTTCATCATTCATCAGCTTCAATTGAGTGTTTGAGAGTTTCTATTATTTTTATTTTATTCGGTCCAGTTTTTCAGTGTTCTTACAGTGCTGAAAAACTGAACTCGTTTTGTTTCTTCTCTTTTACAAACACTTTGTTTTAGTGCTTAGGGATTAAGTACTGAGTTTTGCTCGAGGGATTCGAGTGTGTAAAGTCCACGGGACGTGGCCGGAGAAGTAGTTGATAGGATCGTGTGTAGTTGTGGCTAGACTAGAAGGGAGTTCGAGTCGTGTAAGTCCAAACTATACAAGTGTGAACGGTTTATCAATGAAAGAGCTCTGAGGGGAAGTGGGACGCTTCCCTGAAGAGTTTTAAAATCTTCGGTTTATTGCTTCCGCTATTTACGTTGTTTATCCACGCTCGTACTACATTTCGCGCACTCGGGAAATTATACGTTTCATTTGGCACCAGAGCAGTGTTCCTGTTCTAACTACGGGATAAAGATCTTTGGGACTGTGTGTCGGTCACCATGAACCACGACATGTATGTTTCGCGCCCGCCGTACCTCGATGGTTCGAACTATGCATACTGGAAATCTATGATGGTGATCTTTCTTCGGTCTCTTGGAAAAGGAACTTGGCAAGCCATCAAATCAGGTTGGTCAACACCTTTGATGGAGAAATCACCCTCGGAATAGAAGAAAGAATCCTCGTCCTCTGATGTTGGTCTTCGTGTTCTTGTTGAAAAACCGAGAGATTTGTGGACTGATGCTGAAAGACAAGCAGAAGAATCTAATTTTCGAGCTCTATATGCTATCATGTCTGCTGTAGATCCCACTCGTCACAAGATAATCATCCAGTGCACAACCGCTCAAGAAGCTTGGCGGATCTTGGAAAGACAATTTGAAGGTACAACCGCGGTAAAAACCTCAAAGCTCCAAAGAGTTTCTACCAAACTCGATGAGATTCGCATGAGGGAGGATGAAACTATTGACATGTACTATGCTCGATTCCGCGATCTAGTGAACCAAAGTGCAATGCTTGGTGAATCGGTTCCAGAAGCTAGACAAGTGCAGAAACTAATGAGAACTCTACCGGATAGGTTTGGGATCAAGATTACAACATTGGAGAGTTTTCAGAGAATTGAAAAGCTGGGCATTGATGATCTTTTGGGAGAGTTGCGTACTTTTGAAATTAACCATGGTTTTGACTCGATGAGCAAAAGCAAAGGGAAAGGCTTAGCATTAAAAGCCAAGGTTCGTACTGCAGTTGCTGAAGATGAAGAATCAGATGAAGAATCCTTTGATGTTGAAGGGATCACTAAGGCTCTTACCTTTCTTACTAAAAATGTCTCAAAGCTGAAGAAGTTACAAAAGACAAGGTTTTAAGGAAACAAGCCATATGATGGTGGTACGAACTCTTTTCAGCAACTTGGTTAGCGAGGTTCCAGCGTACAACAGTACAAGGTTCAGAACATCGACCAAAGAGTTGAAAGGGATCAGTGTCGGGAATGCAAAGGGTTCGGTCACTTTCAGAAAGAATGTCCAAACTTTAAAAGAAAGAACAATGTCTATAAGGAAACGTGGTTCGACTGCAGTGATGAGGAGAATGAAGAATCTGAGAAGACTGAAAATTCTCACTATTCTAATAACTCTGCTAAATGTCTTCTTAATGAATATAAATGCTTTACATCCTCTGTACATCTTACTGATGTTGAATCTGATGCAGGTTCTTACGCAAAGAACCTAAGCGATGCTGAATTTGAGGAGTTCTCTGATCCTACTGAGGAGAACCTAGAACTCCACAAGTATGCTATAGAGAAGTGTATGAAGGCTGCCCAAATCATCAAGAAGTACCAAGCCCAGACAGAGAAGATGAAGCGGTTGGAACATCGGTCTGCTGAACGTGAAAAAGAGATTACGTATCTCAAAGATGAACTCCAGAAGATGAGAGTGATGACCGTTGATCTAAATGAAAAGCTCATCAAATCTGATCTTTACATCGGGAAGAAAGACAAGGATCTCAATAGATGCCTTGCCAAGCTTGCATTGGTGGAACATGGAGACAAACTTAACAAACAGGCAAGTGATGAACAAAATTTTACCATT